TCTCTCTCTCTCTCTCTCTCTCTCTCTCTCTCTCTCTCTCTCTCTCTCTCTCTCTCTCTCTCGTCTTCGTCATCACCGTCTTCTTCACGGTCTCCCCAACACGCAGCAGCAAACTTCTTCGTCGGCGATTATGGTCTTCGGCGTGCAAGCGAGCGATCTTCAACGTCGGGCGCGCGACAACAAGCGGGCATCGCGCGATCAGAGTGGGCGCGTGCAAGCGATGGCGTGCAGATAGCAACAAGCGCGCCCAGGGACCAGCGGGCGCGTGCAGCTAACAGGTGAGCGCACGTATGAAATAACGGGCGCGTGAAAAAGAAAAAAAAAAGAAATAACGGGCGTGCGTGCATAAACAACGGCGCGTGCAGTTCACAGCGGCGCGCGGCAACAGATGAGCGCAATTAAACGGCGCGCCCAAGCACGCGATCTGGCGTGCAAGCTCCTCCAAGCGCCGATGGTGACGACGGCGGCGTCGGCAATGATGAAGACGATGGCGCTTGGCTGTTGGCTACGACCCACGATGACGACGACGACGGGGACAGCGATGGCGAGGGGACAGCGGGTACCAGCTCTGATACCAATGAAATCGACTTCTCGCAACTCGCTTCCACATGCATGCAAACAGATGACGAACTCGATCTGGCGCCGAGCACCCACACAAAGCTCAGAGATAAGAACTTGGCCAGGAACACAGTTAAGATTCGAACTTGTCTTGAATGACTATGGGGGCAAGCGCCAGACAAAGATTCCCGCCCGATCAACTGTATCCACTAGCAGCACACTTACACACTAACTAGGATCACCCTGAATGTCCCACTCGCACACACACACGACACACACCTACTCCCTAACAGTAACCTACAAGGCAGCTATGGCCGCCGTCTGTCTCCTACTAACTTGGCTGCGTCTTCCTCCTTTTAGCCCTCTTCTTCCTCTGGCACCTGCAGACCCCCAATGCACAAGTCCCTCCAGCAGCGCTTCCGCACGGCTCACAGGCAGAATGAATGAATGACTTGACACTGCCTCTTTATTTATACTTGGGATCGTCAGTGGTCTGGCCTCTTGACCTGGTCCCGGGATGTACACAGTCCCACATAGTACTTGCTGACTAGACTAGGTTAGACCGGGACTGGGTACCGCTGACTAGACAAAGTAGGACTGGGACTGCCCTTTGCTGACTGTGTTAGAACTGCCCCTCGCTGACTCAACTACGGACTGACTCCTACAACCTACGAAGAGCCAGCTTAGACTAGTCTAGAAGGTCCTAGACTTGACCTTTCGGAACTGTAGCAGCTACGACCTAGACTACCTCTACGACTGCTAAAACTAAAGTCTACGGGTCGAGCCCGCATGACCAGGCTATATACAACAGTCAAATCATACGACTTTTAGGGGTAGGTCGCGGGTTCAAACACACGGGGGTCGATGGGTACTGTACATGGGAAGGGGACAGGTCGAGGGATCGAGCCCTGGGATCTGCATCTGTCTCGCGACTAGGTGAAAACCGTTTCATAATCAATGCCGTCCTTTGGGCCTTCCCACCGTAAAGGAGGGGAGCATGTGTGAGTTTCTCATGTAAGTTTTGGACTTCTCGGTGGAATATGAAACGGAATGTGTTGCTCCCCAGAATGGCAGGAGCCAGAACCACGAGGTTCTGATCTTCTCAAAAAAAAAAAAAAAAAAAAAAAAAGTTCCTTCTACTCAGTTGGAAAGTTGCAGACCAGTTTCTCTGCCAATCTGAAAATTGCAAACCAGTTTCTCTGCCAATCTGAAAGTTGCAGACCAGTTTCTGTCCAATCTGAAAGTTGCTGACCAGTTTCTCTGTCGATCTGAAAGTTGCAGACCAGTTGTCAGTTAATCACGAGTTGCGGATTGCCAGGCCCACTCAGGCGGGCCTATTTACATCATGAGTTGCTGATTGCCAGGCCCACTCAGGCGGGCCAATTTACATCATGAGTTGCTGATTGCCAGGCCTACTTACATCACGATTTCTGATTGCCACGCCCACTCAGGCGGGCCTATTCACATCGTGAGTTGCTGATTGTCAGGCCCACTCAGGTGGGTCTATCTACACCATCAGTTGCTGATAGTCAAGCCCACTGAGTTTGCTGATCGCCAGACCCACTCGGGCGGGCTTATATACATCACGAGTTTGTGGATTGTGGGGCCCATTCAGGCGGGCCCCATCTATTTCATTGAGTTGCAGTCCTTGCTGGGCCTACTCAGTCGGGCCCATCCATTTCATTGAGTTGCTTTTTTTTGCTGTGAGAACCACTCAGGAGGGCCACTCGGTCGGGGCGTCAGGGCTGTCTGTGTGAGCTCCCCGATCACACCTTCAACTTGAACACCTCAATGTGGAAGAAGAAGAATGGTTCGAAGCGAGAACAGCAGATCGAGAAGAACGCGCGTAAGCCGGGGTTGCTGATCAAGCGATTCTCATACCGTTACCCGGGCCACCAACCATTTCTGATCCGGGCGAATGAGTTACCTTCCACTAGGCACGTGCTTGTTGTCACCTACAAAGTGGGTGAAGCGGGAGAAGGGATAAAGGGGGCCACCTATGATCGGATAGCTGACTATATACTCAGTAGGGAGAGCAATTTGAGGGCCCATTGGCTGTGAATTGTCTTCCCTGACGTCCCTTCTGCTCCTGGAGGTGTGTACTACGACTCTGAAGGCTGTAATCCTAAGCCACTGGGTCAAAACCGGCAGCATAGGGCTGAGCGTCACTATCGGAGGCTACAACAGGAAGCTGCCAAGTCAGGATTCAGGGTGATAGGATACCCCGATAGGCCCGAGACCGACGAGTCTGACCTCAACCCATGCAGCGTGAGCGACGTTGACCGTGATGACTATTTCAACTGGGACACTCGTAGAAACTGAGGCGATAGGGAGGAACTGATCACCCTGATTGGGACACTGGAGACGGGAAAGCGGCGCAGGAGGAGGGCGGTCCCATTGGCTGAGGAGCGGTATCTCAGGAATGTGGCCGAGCAGGAGATGGGCAGGTGCATGGCTTACATTTTGAAGATTGATCCAGTAGCCTCGTTGGACATCAGCTACATGGTCCCAGAGTCGACGGCAACCAAAATCCCAGCATAGGACAATGACCAGCACGTATCGGACCCTGCTGGCAGGAAGGGATAGTCCTATTCTACTTAACGACCCTGCTGAGAGTGGCTGAGGCTACCCCGAACACACACACACACACACACACACATATCCTACACCCAATTCACTTAAAAAACCTGTGTGACAGCCTACCAGTCCACCAACCTACTGCACTTGGTCTTGGGAGGTCCACTGAGCCAAGCCTGGAAGCGATAGGGCCGTGACAGCGCGCACTGATAGTCGCAAAAAGTGGGAACTGAATATCACACCAGAGGTGGGAGAAGTCATGATAAGGGCGGGAGAGGAACAAACGAGCGCACAACAAAGGAAGAGGAATTTGCAATAGTACGAAGGGGAGGAAGTTGCAATAGAGGGGAGAGGCAGTTGCAAACAGGGTTATGGAAACTTGTGATGGTGGGGAGAGGTAGTTGTGATCGAGGGGGGAGAAAGTTGTGGATGGGAGGGGAGAGAATGTTTGCAATTGGGGGGAGAAAAGTCCAGTTGGCAGGGGGAAGAGTGTCCGCAAACGGAAAGGAAGTCGCGATAAGGAGAGAGGCAGTCACGAAGAAGAAGACAAAAAGTGGTGAATAGGGTGGCAGAAGGCCACAATGGCAGGGGACAGATAGTTGTGATTGATGGGGAGAAAGTTTCGTACATGGGGGGAAGGAAGTCACAATGTCAGGGCAACTGCTTGATCCGCATCACAGACCTACTCACCGCCAATGTAAGTATAAAAGACTTTTGCATCCTCGGGGATGCCATTTTTCTGCTTCCATGCTAGAAATGCCTTCTCCCAGTCCTCTTTGGAAGACTCGCTCACTCTCTCTTTGAAGACCGGGCCAATTGTGCTCCAGAGGGGTGCTCCTCCCATGGCAAAGATACGACTCTGACCGGGACATGCTGCGTGATTCCCTCTGTTTATTTCCTGCTTCACAGCAGGCACCGTCTCTGAATTTGCTGTTGCTGTATTCACCATTGTTGTCGACTTCGCACCCACTGCAACAGTCGTAGGAGAGGTAAGTTGTGAATCAGCAGCAGTTGCTGCAGCCGCAACATCAGTAGCGGCTTCGGTTACAGGTTCAGTTCCTGGTCTAGTTGAAGTTTCAGGTCCCAGTTTCCTTATCAAGGCTCCAATTCCTGTTCTGTTGCCATTTCCATTGGCACTTTCATCTGGAGTTCCTGTTCCAGTGTTGGCACTTTGTGTACTGTTTCCATTCCCAATGCTCTCTGTCTCATTCTCAGCATTTCGAGTTCCTCTGCTCCTCAGTCGCCATTGTATTCCTGTGCAAATCTCATTGAATCTTCTTCTCTGAATCTCTGACTCAGAAGATGGGGCCTGGCTCAGTGCACAATCAGATCTGAGCTCTACGCTGCCAGATCTGCTCTCCGAGATATTAAGGGTGCCACAGTTTGTAGGTGCCGTCCAGCCCCCATGATTGGTGTCTTCAGAGCTGGCATTTAACCTTCTCTCCGACAGGGTCCTATCAGTAACTCTCCCTGCAGGCTCCTCTGAGAGTCTTTGATTTGTTGACCGCCCTGCTCCTTCACCTATCCCCATTCTACAGACAGACTCCTCCCTCTTTGCAAACTTCTGCCCTCTACAGTCCAGCCCTGCCCTCATTCTATCTGCCATAGCTGGTCCTGGTTCAGCAGCATGGCCCAGATCCACACTTAGCCTTGGTGACCAGCCAGTTCCCACGTCAAATTGTCTGCCACTGCTATTATCATGATAGCTCGGCAGAGGTGTTTTCGGCAAACTAGATCCTGTTGCAGCTGGTGTTGCACTACCAGCATTGTGGTGGAGTTTCTTGGCTGAAACCCGAGGCATAGAGATGGGCCTGATGCTGTTATCCCACTTTGGGCGAGGTTGTGGAGCAGCAGCCGTTGCTGCTGCGGGAGGTCTCCAACGCAGCTCCCTGTGGCTGCGAACGACGTTTAGCAGAGTTTGACCACCTCCACCCTCTCGACTACCCAGTGAATGGCTGTCTGGAAGATTCTCTCTCACGTTACTTCTTAACATTGGCCCGGGTGCATCTACTTCAACACGTCCATCACCTGCCCCACTGTCCTCTGCATTTTCTCTCATTAACCTCTTCGGTGTTGGACTATCTTCAACACCTCCAGTATTGGCCTGATTTCCCTCCTGACAGTTCTCTTCAACCGTTCTTGCAAGTGCTGAGGATCTCTCCCGTTCCCTGTTCTTTGAGATCATAGCTCTCTGTCGTCTGTTAATCTCCTCCCGAGCCTTAACCAACACGCATAAGCGCTCTTCTTGCAATTTATTTCTGTCTTCCTTACTACTAGTCCGTAAAAGGTCACTCTTCCGTAACGACAGCTTGGCCATACCTCCTCTATCTTTGCCTAGTATCAGATCGCTTCTCAGCTTGTCTTTGAGTGCAAGAGGATTTGGGAGAACGGTGCGATTGCTGCTGTCTGAGATGCTTTGATCAGGGCATATGTCTTTCAAAATAGATGAGCTTGTCCTCTGCTTCGGCCTATCAGATGCCCCTTGTCCTTTCTCTGCTTCAGTTGGACGAGGTTTACCTCCACCTCGTCCATTCTTGCCAACTAGACCACGTTTAGCTTCACCTCGTCCATTCTCCGCTTCAGCTGTTCGAGGTTTAGTTGTGTCTGCTTCAGCTAAACTAGACTTAGCTGCACCATCGTCTGCTCCAGCTGTTGCAGGTTGCGCTGCACCTGGTCTATTCTCTGCCTCCGTTGGACGAGGTTTAGCTCCACCTCGGCCATTCTCTCCTTCATTCAGACCAGGTTTAAGTGCAACTCGTCGATTCTCTGCTTCAGCGGTCCCTGGTTTAGCTGCACATCGTCCATTCCCTGATTTGGCTCGACCAGGTTTAGCTGCACGTCGTCCATTCCCTGCTTCAGCTGACTGCGGTTTAGCTGCACCTCGTCTATTGCCTGATTCAGCTGTTCTCAGTTTAGCTGCACCTTGTCCATTCTCTACTGCACCCAGACCAGGTTTAACTGCAATTCGTTGATTCTCTGGTCCAGCTGCACCAGGTTTAGCTGCACCTCGCTCTTTGTCTGTTCCAGCTCGACCAGGTTCCTTCTCCGTTGCCTCTTGGCTGATCACGTTCAGAATCTCAGAAGTGGCTCGTTGTTTCTCGACTGCAGTCGGCTGCTGCCCTTCGCCTGCCCAAGGTCTCCATTTGGCTGCAGCTGCATCGTTCGCGACTGTCACGGTGCCATTCTGATCTGCAGCTGCTTTTTTATTAAGAATGATTCCTCCTCTATCCGGTTCAGGTCGGCGTCCCCCATCACAGGCTTTCAAATCGGGCTGATGTGATATCCCCTTTGCCTCTACGGAGTATGTAACAGAAGCTGGGGTGGCAGTCGAACCAGTGCCAGAACAAGCCTCGGCGGTTCCTCCTCTTATACTCTCTGGCCGAGGTCCTGCTTCGCCCGCTTTGACATCAGTTTGCAGCGTCATCCCCTTCACCTCTTCAGTAGCTGCACAAGCCTTCCCCATTGTGGAACCATCGCCAGAGCAAGCCTCAGTGACTCCTGTTATCTGTTCAGTCCACGGTCCCCGCTCACCCACTTTGACATCATGTCGGAGGGCCATCTTCTTCTCCTTTGTCAGTGCTTCATCAGAGGCTTCACAAATCTTTGCTATATCCGAACTACTGTCAGAGGTCTCATTGACTGGTGAGGCATATTTGCAGACACTGACTCTTTCACCTGGCACATCTGCTTTCCCCAGACCCCCCCTCACCAGACCGATGCTACCAGCGTGTCCAGTAGTAAGCGGCACCCGGTCTTTCTTCTTCCCATTCACCATTGCCACCACCGCCTCATCATGAGCTGCTTTCCGAGCTGCAACTGGATTCTTCATATGTTCTGATTGAGAGAGCTTGGGTCTTTTCACCTTTCCACGAAGTTCCATCTCTTCTCCTCCATCGGCGACATTTTGCTTCTTCCTCCTCTTCTTCCTCTTCTTTTTCTGCTGCTGCTTTTGTTCGTTGTCACCGCCAACCCTGTTGATGCGAAGCAACTTCCTTCGCATAAGAAGCATCTGCTTCTTGTGCTGCATCTCCCTCTCTTTCTCCTGTCTTCTAAACTGCAAAATGCTTTCCAACAGTGCTTGTTGAATCAGCATGTACTTCTTCAGCTGCTGAAACTTTGGAATGTTATGCAAGTTCAATGCGATTCCACGACCATCTCCCGGAAGAAAGCCAGGGGACGGCGTTGTCAACTTTCTGGTTATGTTAGCTTCTTCTCTTCGGCTCTTGCTTCCTCCATCTTCAGCAGCCGTGGCAGGAGCAGAAGCAGACCGGTTCCCTGCTGCCCGTCCCATCCATGCCCTTACCAGCTCCTCGCTCCTCTTCCCACTCGTCTGATGACCCACCTCCCTTGCTTTCACAGCGGAATTGGGCCACAAGCGATTGCTACCCTGGGAGCTGGTTCGCCTTGCATCATTCATCATCTCCCTCTCCTCCTCCTTCACATTCTTCACCACCTTCCTGCCTCCCGAGTTCAAACCCACTTCGGTTAAGGCGGCCCTTGAAGTTACTTTCCTTCGGGTAGGGCAGTACCTGAGGGTACCCTTGTTGTCCTCAGAGGGCAGTCCGCCATACCTTCTTTTCACGGGCACTGAGGACTCCTTCCTAGTAGTACTTAGTCTCCTTGATCGTCCATCTGGACGACTGCTGGATTTTGTACGATCCGTGAGAATCTGGTCTGGACCTGGTTTGGAACTGCGTCGGATGCCAGGCTTGGAGTCAGGTTCGGAATCTGGTTGTCCCTCATTCCTCCATCCATGAGAATGCAAATCCAAACCTTCCACGACTTGGACACGTGGCAAAGAGGTATCTTTTACAGGAGATACGGCCAGCCTTAGCCTAGGGACTTCGCTTTCCTGATGTTGACTTAACTCTGAGACTCCGTTTGGATTCTTTTGATCAGCCTCTCCATCTTGATGTTGTGCGGGCCCGAGTTGGGGACCCAAGACATCTCTTTGAGAGCGGGGTCTTTTCCTAGACTTGTTAGGCTTCACAATGCACGACTCATCCTTCTCGTTGTCCTTAGCATCCCCACCTTCAATGTTTGAATTTTTCACTACTCCCCCTGGAGCTTGTCCAGCCTGTGGGGTGAGAACATCAGACTCTACCAGTTCGAAGGGAGGAGATCTTCCCTGAACCAGGTCCAGATGTTGGTAGTCCATGACTGGGAAGGACCTCTGTCCCGGGTGCTCCAGGACCATCATGCGACGAGCGTGCTTGCTTTCTACACCCCCTTCGGCATCGTGAACTACAACTCGGTCCACGTGGAGACGATTGGAGGGCGCAGCTTGCAACGGATATCGTACCTGCCATTGATCCTCGACGATCCTGCTGTCAGATTCATATTCGGCACCCCCTCCCTCGCCTCCTCCTCCTCCTCCTCCTCCTCCTCCTCCTCCTCCTCTGTCGATGCTCATACCCCTTACATTCCGCATACTGGGAGAGTCATCGGGCTTGTAGTCAATCGGTAGCAATTGCCATCGGAACAATCTATATCTGACCCTCTTCCCAGAGTATTCTACACCAGCGCCTGCTGGTACCATCTTTCCCTCGTCCGCCAGCTGGTTCTCCGATCCCAGCCCCTGGGACTGATCTGATCTGTCAGCTTCCTTCATGGCTGCCTGACCTTCATCATCCTCCTTTACAAGGGCGTCTTGGAACTCCTTCTCCCCTCCCTCCACCTGCACTTGCTGACCTTGCACTCCCTTCGACCTCCATGTGATTTTTGGAAGAGGTGGGTGGGCATTGGATGGGGATAGTCGATAGGCAACACGCTCGGTAAGTGTACAAGGAACGAACTTTAAGCTCCCTGCTAGCGGTGACTTCTCCGTCTCCCCTTTGTTCGCAGCGGGATCGTTGGAGATCGTCCCCACAACAGCACCGCCACCACCATCGAGTTGCAGCGACCGTCCAATATTCCCACCCGGTTGCAGTGGTTCCAGGGGTATCCTCCCCCCCTTTGCTGCTCTCATTCTCTGACGAGCCACGGCGGAAGACAAGGGCACCGCCGTCGCCTTCTCCTCGCCATAAGGGGCGAGCCGAGATAGAGGCAGCCGCCATAGTCCTCCCTTGATCGAAGAATGTACCGTACCCCTTGTACCACCTTCAGGCCCAGGTGCGGAATCCACTTCGTCCAAGATCAGCCGCTCATGGTGCGCGTTAGCCTGCTGGACAACACGATAATGACGATCGGTACGAAGTTGCTGCATGGCTCGTGAGTCATGCTCGCTGGCACGAGGACGAGGAGGACATTTAGTATCAGGACCATTGCTCTCTTGAGCGTCATGGATTCTTCTGGGGAAGTAGGTATGGAGTGCTGCTGGTCGAACTTCTCCCATGCCCAATGATTCGAGCTCAGGCGCAAGCTCTCCACAATTACCGCCGCGAACTGCAGGTGCCTGACAAAGAGCGAAACCAACTCCCTCACTAGCTCCGGCTTGACAAGACAATGGAAGAGGGGGTTGTCGAACCAATGGCGTCGCACAAAGCAACTCTTCGCCGCTTTGCGACAGCGATCGCCCATGACGGGCAAGGCTGCCGCTGGCAGCCTCAACATCGGTGCCGCCACCTACTTCAGAAACCCTTTGCTCATCGCAGGTCAACCGCCTGACAGCATTGCCTTTCTTCTCATTGAACTTCGTCCTTGCAAGATGTTTCCTCTGGGTGCCAGCAATGCTCAAGCACTGCCCCGTCTTGGAAGATCGGGTCCCCCCGGCCCCGCTCTCTCTCTCTCTCTCTCTCTCTCTCTCTCTCTCTCTCTCTCTCTCTCTCTCTCTCTCTCTCTCTCTCTC